CCCGCCCTCTGCCCCCGCCCCGTCGCAGCCGCACTCCATTCCGAACACTCAACCCTCGCCCTCGCACACGTCGCGCGACTTTTTCGGCGAGCTGGAGCAAGCCCTTTCCGTCTCCGCTCCGCCTCCGGCTTCCGACTTTGACGTCTTGGACCATGCGCTCACCTCCTCGCATCCATCCGCATCTCGCCATCTACCATCTGCTCCCACTCCGAATCCGCTTCAACCATGGCCTCAACAGGCCCGGCGCACCGCACAACTGCAGCAGAACCAGATTCAAACTCACCTGCACCAGCAGCGGCAGATAAGGCATCGACAACTGCAGCAGCAGGCTCATATCGCCCAGCAACACCAGCTCCGCCAACAACAGTTTCACTCGCAGCAGATAAGGCAGGAGCAAATGAGACAGCAGCAACAGTATGGACAGTTGAGACACTTGCAACCGCACCCACAGCAGCAGGGCATGCCCATCGTGAACAGAGCCCTTCAAGAACAGTCGCAGCGACAAACCGCGCAGCCCTTAAAATCGTCGCAACCTCAACAATCTTACCCGCAACCGGCTATGCGCTTCGCCCAGCAACCGGCTCAAAGCCGCACGCAACCGATGCCTCAGTTTGCTCCGAAGCACATCCAGCCCGCCGTCATATTGCCGGGTCAGTCGCATGCCAATGTCGCTTACCCTGGAGGTTTTGTCGCCCAGGCTACTCTCGGATCCCCTGCCCCACTGCCAAACCACGCCTCGGTTGCCCCACAGACGAGCCGCGTGCTGTCAATGGGGACCCCGAGCCAGCCTAACTCGACAGGGTCAGCCTCACAATCAGGGCGCTCCAAGACAAAGTCGAAGAAGTCGAGTCAGCGCCGCCCGCGCGCGAAAGGGTCGGCGAAGAGTCTGCACGGAATGGGGTCGCAATCGCATAGCCCTTCGCCATCGCAGTCAAGTAGCCAGCATACGTCCCATGCGGCACAGGTGTCGCAGCTGCCCCCGCACCCCACGACGGAACAGATGCAGAACGCGTTTGCGCGGCAGCAGTATGGCGCCACGCAGCATCAGATTCAACCTAGTCCGCCAGGGGTCCAGCAGTCGCCAGAGCAATTGCATCAAGCGCGGAAGCAAGAGCTGCAGACGAGGTTGTTACAACAGCGGCAACTGCCGCAGCAAGCTAACCATGTTCAATCCTCGCTCATTCCGATGGGGTCTGCAGCGCTGTCGAGAGCGGAAGTGCCACCCCGCAAGGAGCGAAACTCACCATCACAGCAGGGCAGAAGTAACGCTTCGGGAAGATCTTCTCCATTCGAGCTGGACCCTGCGACGTTTTCTGCACCGCCTCAGGTTGGTCAAATGTCGCAGGTTCCGACAAATGAAATTGCACGCATGGCGACGTTTGACCAGGCTACATTGCAAAAGATTTTGATGAGAACGTCAGATCCCAAACTGCGCGCGACGCTGCAGCAACAGTTGCAAATGCAGCAGATGAAGGGACTCGCCCAGAACCCGCAATCCGGACAAAGTGCCCAATCCAGAGCACACGCCCAAGCACACGCCCAAGCTCAAGCACAAGCACAAGCACAAGCACAAGCCCGAGCACAAGCCCGGGCCCAAGCCCAAGCACAAGCCCAAGCACAAGCAGCACACGCCCAGGCCCAGGCCCAAGCACAAGCACAAGCACAAGCACAAGCCCAAGCACAAGCACAAGCACAAGCACAAGCACAAGCCCAAGCCCAAGCCCAAGCCCAAGCCCAAGCCCAAGCCCAAGCCCAAGCCCAAGCTCAAGCCCACGCCCACGCCCACGCCCAAGCCCAAGCTCAAGCACAAACTAAAGCGCAAGCACAAGCGCAAGCTTTGCAGAAGATGTCTTTAGCATCAGCAGTATCGCAGGACAGGCCGCCAACAGGAGGACAGCGCGGGGCGGCGATAAATTTCTTGCCTACTTCAAATGGAGGCGGAATGAATCAGCAGCGATTTATGCAAATGCAAGAGGGTGTGAACCAGCAATATCAACAACAGGTCTCAGGACAGCTATTGTCGGCGAGATCGTCAGCTTTGGGACAACAGCAGGCCACCCCTCAGATCTTCCCGAGAGGGAGCCCATATCGCCAACATGCTCCACAGCAACAAGTGGGGGTGTTGAATCCTCACGCGAGCCAAAGCATGGCTGCGCTACCACAACCCCTGCAACATCAACTCCGAGCCCAAATACAGGCCGAACATATCCGCACGCAGTTACGAAATCAATCGCAATTGAACAAACAACAAGCTTCGACGTCAGCAGCCGTCAACCCTCTCAACATGACACCAGGTTTACCTCAACGATCTCCTTCTCCGGAAAATCGCGGGATTCGAAGGAGCCCAACGCGATCCAGCGAATCATTTATTGACGCCAAAGCGAACGGATCATTTCTCGGGAACCCTTTCGGCCAGACAACTTCCGCTGCTTCCACCTCGGGGGTACAGAATATCCCAACGCATATCCGTGGCTTGACGCCACCGGCTTTACCTTCATCTGGTCATCGTCAGACTCCAACGCGCAGTACATCTGCTTTACAGAGCTCGTCGAATCACAGCAGGGATCGAAGTGGACATGCTGCTTCTGCCAACAGGCTTCAAGAGAGCGCCACACGACGGTCACAGTTGCTTGCTGAACAGAAGAAGCATGCTAGGGAGACAAAAGCCAATGAGGTTTCTGCGTCCAAAAGGATACGTCTTGAAGCAGCGCCGGGGAGTGACTATCAAGGAGTTCTGGCACCAGACTATAAATCACCGTTTACAGGTCAAGTGAGTGCATGGTTAGGTCTACTACCATATCACGTGCTACTTGACGAAGAGGATTCGATAACAAGCGAAGAGTGGGATGTTGGTATATCTGCGTTGTGCGAGAAGTATCGCGGGCAGTACCTTGATATTCGGAAGAAGCTTAGTGAGTTTAGTGAGAGCACACCGGACTTTTCAGTAGACGACGTACCAGGACTTGGTTCTGGGTTACTGAGCAATGGCGATAGCGTTGTAATGGAAATTGTATTGCTCGAGGACATGAACGAAACGGCAATGCGAGAAAAGGCTGTTGCAGATAAGCGAGCGCGGGAAATTGCGCAGCGTCGATCACTGGAACTCCAGGCTTCAAGAAAAGCTGAAGAGCAAACGGCAAGAGCTGCTGAGGCTGCTCGACAGGCTGCGATGCAAACAGATACGGGAAAGAGTATGGGAGCCAGCTCTGGAAGGATGCCACTGATGGGAAGTATGGGGGTAGGTGTTATGTATGGACAGGGAGTGCCAGGTAATAGTGTGACATCGGGTGTGCTTCAGATGACGGGTGGCGGGAGCCAAAGTTTTGGGGCTGGAACATTTGGCAGCGGCGTGATGCGTAACAACCTGGGAATGCACGGGCAAGTCGAGGCAAAAGTTGGAAACTATGATACAAGTGCGAAGGCGGTTGCAGGGATTGGGCGGGATGAACACACATACGGAGAGGTAGGTGGCGAGGGTGCAAGTCAAGTGGACGCAGGCGGGGGTGTAAATTTTGGCCAGATGAGCGGGCAGAGCAGCAGCGGTCTATCAATGGCCTTCGAGAACGCGCGTCAAGCCGCGATGGGACAGGGACGGGGACTGGAGTACGAGATGAGGGGGCAGTATGGCACGCAGGCGGTATCTGTTAATAATACTGGGATAATGTCTCAATCATGGCCCGGGCGGAGTATGGGAGGTGTGGATGTGGGGAGAGGGGAGGCGATGATGGGCGTGGGTGAAGGAAGCAGGAAGGGAATGGATGGAATGCGATCACAAAATGTGGTAAACGGAAAGTCTGGTGACGTGGATATGTCGCAGGGAGATGGGTATGGGCTGTCGAAAATTGGGATAGGCGCGAGTGGAGGGCAACAAGCACAGATGTCAGGGAATGGAAAAGCAGAGGCAGGTGGGAATGGAATGGGTGGCAACAGAAGCCACTTAGGGTCACAAGCGCCTAGCGACGGGAATGGTCAAAGCACTGCGGATGTGGAGACATCGAGTGGGGACAAATGTGGTAGGGGAACGCAAGGCGTGCGGCGGCCAGGGATGATGTCGTTGCCAGGCGGAAGAGGACTTGGATCTGGGCATGCAGCCAGAGGCAAGTACGGCGGAGGGAAGGAGGATGGTGGGATGGGGATGGGGTCGCTGCTTAACGCGGAGGGACGATGAGATTTTTGTAAAAAGACTTGTAATATTTAGTGGATTGTTGGGAAGCACAAAGTACAGCATGGAAGAGAGGACGGGGGGAGATTGCGTGTGGACAACATAACAAACGGAGTAGAAACGGGATGACGCAGGTTTCTCAGTCAGACATAGACACGTCTGCGAAAATTAGAGCAAGCGGCGCCGGGTCGCATGCCAGCGATGACAAACAAAAAGGACAGGCAGGGTTTTTGACACAACACGCTCCTCCTGTGACAGGCCCGATGCGCGCTGCCGCTTTGCGAAAGATCTGCTCTCCCCGCTCATCCCCTGAGCGCCTCTGCATGTCCCACCCCGCACTTGTCGCCACCTCATTGGCCATCTCCGCAACACCTGTCCAACCAGAGGCCCCGATATCTGCCCCTCGTGCAGCTCGCCACGCTGCCCGAGCAGCCACCGCTGCCTTGTCCGCATCCCGTCGACACCTATAAAAAAACTCTCTACCACTCCTCCTCCATTCCCGTCTTCCGCATCCCCTCTCCCTGCCACACCCCTCCCTGTCCCCGTTTGCGTCCCGCGTTTTTCCGCCCGCCCTCCGCCCGCCCTCCGCCCGCCCTCCGCCCGCCCTCCGCACGCCCTCCGCACGCCCTCCCCCCTCCCGCACTCCCCCGAAATGCAGCCCGCCTTCGTCGCCCCCGGCCTCGCGCCCTCCCCTTTCCTGGCCCACACCTCACTCGTTTCCCCCAGGCGCGGCCCGCAGCGCCCCGGCCTGCGCTCGCTGCGTGCCGCTCAGGCCGCCGTCCGAACCGGCGGCGCGGCCAGGGACAAACCCGCTGCGGTCGCGGCTAAGCCCTCGGGGAAGAAGAAGAAGAAGCCCAAATCTTCGGCTCTAGGCAAGGTCGTCGTCATGGGGCTGTCGCATCATACCGCCACCGTCGACGTCCGCGAGCGCCTCGCAGTCCCCGAGGCTGAGTGGCAGATCGCCGCGGAGAGGCTGTGCGAGTGCGCCGCCATCTCCGAAGCCGCGGTCCTGTCCACGTGCAACCGTTTTGAGGTCTACATTGTCGCAGACCATCCGTTCAAGGCCATCCAGGAGGTCGTCGCGCATCTTAGCTCGCGAAGCGGATTGTCGGTCACCGAATTGAGGAAGCATTTGTTCATGCTCACGGAAGATGAGGCCAGCTGGCATTTGATGAGAGTTTCGGCGGGCTTGGATTCGCTTGTCATTGGCGAGGGACAGATTTTGTCGCAGGTGAAAAAATGTTACGAGTTGGCGAGCGATGCGGACGGCCATGCGGGCAAGATTTTGCAGAGGTTGCTGAATAACGCCGTGTCGGCAGGGAAGAGGGTCCGATCAGAGACGGGCATTGCGAAAGGTGCCGTGTCAATTTCGAGCGCCGCCGTCGAGTTGGCGGAGATGAAGGCCGTCCCGGATTTGGACTTGCCACTCAAGGACGCGAAGGTTTGCATTCTGGGTGCGGGAAAGATGTCCAGATTGCTGGTCCAGCATTTGCTCTCGCGAGGAGTGGCGGATATTACCATTGTCAACCGCTCCATTGGAAGGGCCGAGGAGTTGGCCAAGATGTTCCCGGACGCTAGTTTGCACATTAAGCTTTTGGACTCGATGATCGAGTCGGTCGCCACTAGCGATATCATCTTTACGTCTACGGCTGCGTCGGCCCCCATTTTGACTAAGGACATGCTCACCCCAGCGCTTGATCCGCTCAGGAGATCAATCGTGATTGATATCTCGGTGCCGCGGAACGTCAGCGATGACGTTGCGGAAATAGATAATATGTTTTCCTATAATGTTGATGATCTCAAGGCCGTGGTCGCCAAGAACCAGGCCCGGAGACGCCGCCTCATGTTGGAGGCGGAGGACTTGCTGCGCGAGGAGCTAGCTACGTTCAACAATTGGCATAACTCGCTTGGATGCATTCCGGCGATCTCGAAGCTGCAGCAGCGCGCGGAAAGCATCCGCCAAGACGAGATGGACAGAGTCAAGGGCAAGCTCTCCGATCTTAGCGCGAGCGAGCTCAAGGCTGTCGAGCAGTTGTCCAAGGGCATCATTAACAAGATGCTCCACTCACCCATGGTCCATCTGCGGGGACTGGCTGACTTGGAGGAGCGCACACAAACACTCAAGAACATTGAGGCCTTGTTCAAGTTGTAATATTTTTATCCCAAGTATTTTTTTCTAAACTCTCCCCCACCTTAGACCCGCTACACACCCATACCGCTCACCTTAAAAAAATTCTGCGTTGACTTGTATCCTATGCAGCAGAGGCAACCTCTATATGCGCACATGGAATGTAGCGCAGTCAATGACCGACTGCCGAGTGGCGTGAAGAGGCGCAGCACACTCTGTTCTCTCCGGTCATGCGAACCAAAAGGCTGTTTATATGTAGTAGAATAGATTGCCCGCAACATCATTCAATCTGTGACTCGCTACGCGACATCGAAAAACACGAAGCTTGTCAATATAACAGGAGCTCCTCACCCGTACCCACACCCATTTGCACCTCCTCAACGGCGGCCAGAACGCTATCCTCCCCAAAAACCTCACCGAACAACAATCCCCTCTCTTCGCCCGACATCCTCTCCCACTCGATCGCTTTGTCGACCAGCTCCTTTTTCACTTCACCTGGTAAACCGTGCTTTAGGGCCCTGGCAAGCCTCTTCCGTTGGACTGACTCGTTGACTGATGCCAGGTCCTTGGAAACGTAGGCTGACCGCCCGTTGCCGCCCCCAAACACAACCGTCTTAGTCCCGTCTGCGTTTCGCACGCGCGTCACACGCCATAAGAGGTGTCGCGGGAACAGCTCTCGTTTCGTTACGCATTGTCGCATATTCCGCCCTTGCCGGGGGCCGGGCTGCCGGCAGTAGGGGAGCAAAAATGCAGTGGAGAGGGGAAAGGGAACGGCCATTGCGGACGGTGCTTCCAGCAGGCGATTGAGCTCGCGCGCAGGACTCATGACTGAACTCGTGGGACTTCTGGACACGAGTGGGTTGGTCACACATGGCGATTGAGTAATTCTGTCGCCATCTCTTACCCCGCCAAAATCTTTTCGAAAAACACAGCTGCGCCACCCATCACAGGTCACCACCTCGCAGTCGAATTCCGCGCGCTCCTACGAAAAGTGAAGTTGTGCCGCGGAAAAGCCCAAGGTGTGGAGGAGGGCAAAGCGTTGATACTGGTGCGCGCTCTCTCAAAGCTAAAATGATGATCGCGCTGGTCGATAACACGCCCGACCATCGTCTTAACTGAACAAGTCGACACAGCACTCACACTCCTCACGTCCTCAAACACCCCAATCGTCAACAACCAGGGACGTCGCACTCGCGGAAGTATGCAAACGGGCAGAGAGGCTCCCCAACATAAAGCGCCAACGACGTCAACGAATATTACAAAGTTAGACGCAATCGCACTCACTAGTCAAATTGTTCCTCCAGGTCCACGGCATCGACCTCTGCCCACAAGTCGCGTTGCTCCTTCATAAACTCCTCCAGTGGCTTCGATCGTTCCGGCGACGCCTCCTCCTCCTCCTCCTCCTCCTCCTCCTCCTCATCTTCCTTTTTTTCAACTGCTTCCTCTCCTTGCTCGGACTGGTCGCTCTTCCCTTCTGCTGTCCTCTCGGGGCTGGCATACCGCATGACGCCAAGCGCATGACTCGTTGGCATCTCAATCAGATGCACGCGACGCCGTTTCCCATACGTAACTTTCTTCGGGCGGAGGGGCGATACCTGCTCCGGCTGCAGCACGGCCAGCGGAGTGCGGTTCGTCGTCTCCCCGTCTGCGCCTCGTTCCACTGGCGCAGCAGCTGTGGCGCGCGGGCTCGCCTCTTGAATTTCGTCAATATCCCCGATGTCGATTGCGGTTGCGGTCAACTCTCGCTCACGCTCCGAAGCAAATGACGCTGGTCCGTGCGCCGAACTTGCCTCGTCTTCCTCATCCGAGACCAAGGCTGTCTTGCTGTGCAGCAGTTTCGACGCCGCCCGCCTCGGTTGTCGACTTGTATGGACTGCGGCAATTTTGTCCTTCTCGGGCAGTACCTTTCCCGTGTCGCTCGTGCTTGTCTCGTCCTTTCCGGAGAGACTGCCGCTCTCCCGCATTGCGACCTCGTTCTCCTTGTCATCATCCGGGGGTGTCGGTTCGGCGCGTACTGACAGCGCGGGCTTGGCACGACGCTGGCTTCGACGGAGCGGCATGTTGCGACGAGGGTGGTTGCGGTTGTGACGGAGTGATGGGGAGGGAAATGGAAGGGGACAGCAGGGCATGATAGGAGCGGCAGGGGATGCATGTACCTACAGTATGTTTGTCGAGAACTGTGGACAAAGCGCGGGAAGGCGCCAGGTTGAAAATTTGAAGCGTCTTTTAATTGTTATGACTTCAATTAGTTTATGTTCTTCACAGTTACTATGGAATGTAGTTGGCGCCCTTAGTGTACAGCAGCACAAATTGAGGATAGAAATTTTATCAAAGGGCTCTTCCGCATTTAATGCGGAAGAGCCCTTATATGCTTTGTTTAGTTTAAAGATGTTCAAATTACCGCACTCTCTTTAACCCCGATCTGGGTATTGCGGTTAACTTGTACACTATGATGCGCAATACTGAAAATGCATGCAGTTCATTGTTTAGAAGAAATCAATCCTTGTCTTCTTCTAGAGTAGCGTACATGAAGCTGTCTGGCTGGCAAATCCGTTTTCATCTGATGGGCTTTCCTTTTCTGGTCGGCTTCGGACAAATTTTGTCCGCATAGCCAACTTTCCCTAATATCTGCCAATGAAGAGAATCAATGTAAACGAACAAAGACACCCGAGCAACAGTTTCTGACAGTGCGCGCCAGTTTTCTTTTACAGGTAGAAAGCAACAAGTCATGAGAGTACTTTGTTGGTGAACTCTTCACATGCGTGGTCACAAGCTAGAAAGTCGTTTTTTTCGTGCTCGCCAAAAGAAAGCTGCACTTCTTCCTCTCCCGCACGACACGCTCGTTCCTGTACTTCTACTCTACTCCATATCACTTCCCTGCACGCATTTGCCAATACCCTATGCTGAACAAACAGCAAAGATGCGATTTTATGTAGCAGATCAAAGTCTCGGTTGCAGAGAGATCATTGTCCTCAAATGGTTGAGTTGCGCACTGTTATCAGTTCCGTGCCCCAACTCCTCGAAACGGAACCGTTTATCTCTATACACATGCTTGTTCGCAAATGAAAAGTATTGCTGCTCAAGCATGTTTCCAGGCCCCATCCGAAAACACTGCGAGAAATTGATAGTTGGTTCATCGTATACCTCGTCTGCCTGAAGAACACTCTTGCATAACATAGCCAGAAGAAAAAACGACCGACAAGCCTGTGCAGCCTCACCTCGACAATTCGCCAAATACTCAAGCGAAAGGTGAAGCTCCAAAACAGAAAGGATGTCGCAATCGCATGAAACCGATGAGACTACAGGGCACTATTATCTCACATTTCGCTTGCCACATGGCAGCATGAAGCCTTCTCCGATTAATCGCAACGATATCGGAAGGGAAACCCAGGACGACACAGAAAAGCTACAACGGTTAAATGAAGAATTCACTGGAAAACTATACTCCTTTACAAAAGGCAACACTGTCCTGAATAGACTTCGAGTGCCTTGTGTGTGCGTACACAAATGAACTCGTCTATCATTGGAAATGAGGATCGTCCGAGCGCATGAACCTAGGCTCTTGCACGCCAAGTGCACTTGACGGGCTTCTAAAGTCTTCATCACGATACCCAAAAACTGTTTCATTGTCCATCCTTCATTCCTTGTCACAGAAGCATATTCTCTTCAACGGGTCGTCCCCATACATACCGTAGATCATAGATCTGATAATGCTGCCATCTTATTCAGATGCTTCTTGGACGACAGTGGTTTTCCGCCGATGAGAGCAATGGTTCATTTATATCAGATTGAAACTGTTCCAGTCATGACTCAAGTTCCGATGCGGCCGGTGCTTTACTGTACCTTACAAACAGAGTCAAGGAATTGTTGTAAGAGGTGTGGCGGTACTTCAAGCATATGGTTATTCACTTTCGGCCAAGCCCTCACCTTCGTCCATTGTGTTTTTTTGCCAATGAGGGGCCAAAAAGTTTTCGCTCTTCCGTATCTCCAACATCTACACGTGCCCATAATGGGTACTTCGCCAGACCAGGTATCTTCTCGGACATAACCGAATCCGCACGAGTCATTTATCTTCATTAGGGATAGCAGACTCTGAAATTCTGAGAAAGTGCGTGAAGCCAATACCTGTATTGCAAAATTGTTCTTCTATTCCGCTATGAACTTTTCCGTTCACTACATGGCGTTCGAATATTTCTCGATACACTGTTGCACAAGCCAAGACTTCAGTTTCCTCCACCAGTTTGCTATTGTGCAGACTGCCGTTCGGTGAGGCCTTCACAAAGAAAATTTCTTTCCAAGGTGTCGCGAGATTGAGAAACGCATAGCAATGAATGAAGCTGTTGATCAGCAGGATAATTTGATCCTCCATTAGTTCAACACAGCATTGCCAAATAGCTTTTTCGCTACAGGGTACTTATGTCAATCAGGATTCTTTCCCCATTCTTTAATTCTTTCTTACCCAACACGAGAGACAAGTTGCAGCACTTCTTCCTTGAATGAACTGGTGTTAAAATTTATTGTCGCCAGAAGGCTATGACAACTAAGTGTATTTTGACTCCCGTCGATTATCTACAATGCTCTCTTAATTGATGGAAATGCACAAATGCACCCGAGAGTAAATGCAATTATTAGCGTAGAAGTAAGACTGTAGAGACTCTAAAAGCCGCCTGGCCTCGTAGCTACAGAAAAACACAACTGAACAACAAGGAATATTTCTGCTATAACTCTATAACAGCCATCAGTTTATTCTCCTTGGCAAATTCATACTGCAAGATTGCCCCAGTACTGGCAGTTAACTCAACTAATCTAACAGATTTCCGCCACATTGTGCCACTAGCCATTCCAACGCTTTTCTTGTTGAGAATGAAATTCAAAAAATGCCCGTGTGGAGCAATAACGCCGCGTCATCGGCACCAAGTCGTGGTTTTGCTCATCCATTTTGATGCGTCGCATGCTTACCTGGTCACGTCCACATACGAACTCTGCATCGTTTTGGGAGACTCTTAGATTGATGATCCACTGATCAACAGTGTCACAGTAGCAGCCGTCTCTTAAATGGGATCGCAGGGGGTTAGCATCCTCTATCTTCGTCTCTGCGAATGAAGGAAACAGAGTAGCGAGGCGAAAAGGTTTCTACGTTCGTATTTATACTTCTAGTTGCGACCGGATTCATGTGATGTGTTCTGGGCAGTGTGAGAAAAGGAACAAGATAGCCGAAAAAAGAACAGATTGAAACTTTCATAATGTTAGCTTCTGAGATTGCCAGCGAAAGATCACGCCTGTTATCGCATTTGAGCATCAGTCTCCTGAGATGATGACTCCGGGCAAAAAATACGAAAAACAAAAATGTGGGGAACTAATCTAAACCTGCTAGCTAGTATCTCTGAACATCAGTACGGTCTCTCATCTGAATGATAGGCAAACACCTCATTTTTATGACTAACTTTTGAGGGAGTTCTACGAAAAAACAAGCAATTTCGTACCACTCCTGCCAATTTGCTGGATTAGGTAATGGTTTTTATCTTTTTTGAAACAACCAGAAGTCCTTGCCCGACTCTATTTTCACTGGGCACCTTCATGTCCACAGAGGACTAATAGCGCAGTCTAATTTTTGATTCAACCCTCCGCAGTAGCAATGATATATTCTGATTTGCCTCTCCCGAAAGTGCATGAAAGGAAAGTTATTGAACTTCACACAAAACGTTGGCATTATCACTTTCAGCAGTCATCGGATGCGTAAGACACAAGGGCAAAACCGCAAAAACTTCTTTCGTGTACGTCACTGTTGTTGTACTGTAGCGTGAAGCTTTTCTTAAATTGAGATGGGCTTCGCATGTCATCCATGTCATGGAGTCAATTCATGGCTGTTCTGGTTCTTCAAAAAACGGGCTCACTCAGTGAGTGCCTGGGTCTCCAATTTCTAAGAGGCGACTGAAGTCCCGGCAGGATCTGCGCATAATTTGAACGACGACGGTCCAGACTCTGTATAGACGCAGCATGGGGTTTTATTGGCTTTTCCTGACGCACCATTCGCGACGTGAACTCAAACTCATTTTTAGTGACATGAATGGGTGAAGGTGTGTGTGCGTGAGTGATATGTCTGTCAGTCCACGTTGTTCTGAACGCGAGGCATGTTGCGAGGCCGCATGTGGATGTCAAATGAATGGTAGTGGTGCATATGCACTTCCATTAAGGTCCAGGTAGAAGATCATGGATGAAATGCAGGTGATGCCCGTTATGGTAACCTGGCGTGCTGCTTGCGAATTACAACTAGCGCAAATGTGCCTGTATTGTAGAGTACGTGTACAGTGTAGAGTACGTGTAGGATACGCGAAATCTACAGTAGAACGTCTCGTAGGCTAATAATTCAAGTGATGCTGCGATACTGTACTTCAGCGCATGCGGAATATTTCTTGATTTTAAGGAAAAGGAGCGGACGGTAAACAAGAATGCTTCGATGCAGTACCTTGTTCAACTTAAATTAGGCCTCAAGTCTTGTCACAAAAAGTAGCAGAATACGGGATTCAAGGCATGATCTCCGATCTAAGGAGAAACGCGGGAGGGGCCATCCGGTGTGGCCGAGAGCCATTCAGGTGGCCCGGCCGGTGGAGACATGCTGTCGCCCAAGGGGGTCCACAATCAACATTTCAGTACCACTTTTTTGACCCACCCTCGCGACAGAAATGCGTGTGGGCCATCTCGTGCCCAAGTCCGTGGACTCGTTGAACGAGGCTCCCTCTCAGCCTCCGCGACGATCTCGATGACACTCTTGTCCTGCAATCGCTTTCATCCGCAATCACTTCCTCACAAAGCTCCCTATCAGTTATCATCCCTGCGCTCGCATCACCAGAGATTCCGGCCTTGTCATCCCTTCTGTTCGTTCGAGAAACTCTTGCAATTATGCTTTTGCATTGTCGTTTTTTAACTTTTCTCCCATTCACGTCACCAGGGAATCAACCCATGGGCACCTAAGTGTCAAGCGATAAGGACATTCTGTTCATAAATCATCATCATTCGATGTCCTCACACAGCATGACGCGTACTCATCTTGATGGTAAGCACATGTTTATGTTGAAGTGTGTGCACACTCAAATTTTCATTGCAGTTTTACGAGGTGTGCAATATCGCA